TTTCGAAATTTGAGCATTCGGTAGAGCTCTAGTATTTTTCCCCCATATTCGATCTGATTCCCGCTCGCCATCTTAATCTCAGGTCGATCGGGTAGATATTTCTGTCAAAGAGCACTCAGGCGGGATCGGCTGTTTAGTGTCATCTTGGCAGGTGCTGTCGGTTTCTTAACTTAACTCGAGCTGAAGATGAGCTACAGAGCTGTTCGGCACAGCAGTCGGAAGGGAATCACCAGACGCGCTTGTCTCAAGTATCTAGATGCCCGAACTCAGCCTGCTACCAGAGCTGGGTCCGAAGAACTATTCGTACTCTGCTCTCTCGCTCTCTCTCTCTCTCTGTCTCGTTTTTTAAGAAGAAAAAATATAAGAGAGATTATGATGACTTTCTTGATGTAACTCGAGCTGCAGATTAGCTACAGAGCTGCTTGGCACAGCAATCGGAAGGAAATCATCAGGAGCGCTAGTCTCAAGTATCTAGATGCCCGAACTTGGTCTGCTACCACAGTTGGAATCAAAACAACTATTCGCACTCTGTTTTTTTTTTCCAGGGCGTTTCTTGATGTAACTGGAGCTGCAGATGAACTTAGAGCTGCTCGGCACAGCGATCGGACGAACACCATCGGGAGTGCTAGTTCCAAGTATCTAGATTTCTCAGATCGGTCTGCTACCAGAGCTGAAACCAAACATTTTTTGTATATATATATATACACATATATATACACAAGAACAGGATAGTTTTCACATTCATTCGAGTTGCGGTCGGGCGCAGAAGCTGAGAAGAACTTCTCGAAGCAGAAGGTCATCAGGTAGATGCGCCAACGATACCGAGACGTCTGAATGCGGCCTGCAAGCGTAGCTACGACTGGACAATTTTTCTTTGCAGTGTACATATTTTCGAGCAAGGTTGTGCATTTCCTGAGTTCAATTCGAGCTCGATCGACAGGGAATGCCTGCGAAGCATCAATCAGTGTACAGTCCAGACGCCTGAGATCGGTCTGCTACCAGAGCTGCAGCCATATCATTATTTGCATTCTTTCACACTCTGCAAAATTTGGTAAGAGATAATATATGTGTTCTGTACTAAGCTCGAGCTGTAGGCTGCTTCTCCTCCTCCTTCCCCTCCTCGTTCTCCTCCTCCTCCTCCTCCTTCGCCTCCTCCTTCTCCTCCTCCTCCCCAATTCCCCTCCTCCGCCTCTTCTTTTTCCTCCTCTCCCCTCTTCCCCCTCCTTGCTCCTCTTCCTATTCCTTGTTCTCCTCCATCTCCTCTTCCTCCTTCATCTGCTCCTTCTCCTCTTTCTCCTTTTCCTCTTTCTCTCCCTCCTCCTCCTCGTCCTCCTCCTCTTGATCGTCATCGTCATCGTCCCTCTTCTCCCCCTCCACCCCTTCCCCTCCTGCTCGGCATCCTCCTCTTCCTCCTCCCCCTCCATCTCCTCCTTCTGCTCCTTCTCCTCCTCCTGCTTCTCTTCCTCAGCCTCGTCCATCTCCTTCTCCTCCTCGCTCCTTCTTCTCCTCCACGTCTTCCTCCATGAAACCGCACCCTCGCGCGCGGAATGCGAGATTGCCGCGCCCGCATCCCACTCATGTATATCGCAAGGAAGCTCTACGAGTTCCCGGCGGTAGCCAAGGTTGACGGTTTACCGCCGGCTCCCAGTTTCCCTGAGAGCGAAGCGGCGCAGCTAGAGAGTAATTTCGGCGCGCTGGGGGCTAGTTGGCCCGAAAATTTTCGACGGATTTTTTTTTGGGGCTGTTTAAAATTATTGTCTCGAAATTTGAAGTTTCGTTAGAGCCCTAATGTTTTTTGCCCTTATTCGATGCACTATTGCTCGCCATCTTATTCTCAGGTCGATCGGGTACTTACTATTGTCAAAAAGGACTCAGGCGGGATCGGCTGTTCAGTGTCGTCTTGGCAGGTGCTGTCGGTTTTCTGAACTGAATTCGAGCTGTAGAAGAGCTACAGGGCTGACAGGCGCACCTCATCTGTCTAGAATCGTCAGGCGCGCTAGTCTCGGGTATCTAGATGTGCGAACTCGGTCTGCTACCAGAGCTAGGACCAACAAACTATTCGTGCTCTGCTAATCTTTCAAGAGGTGAGGATGATTTCCTTACTGCGACTTCAGCTGAGCTGCAGAGCTGTTCGGCACAGCCATCGGAAGGTAATCGTACAAAGCGCTAATTAGAAATATCTCAATGCCTGAACGCGGTCTGCTACCATATCTGGAACCAACAACCTATTCGACCTCTGCTAATTTTTCAGGAGACGATGCTTATTTTTTCGACTTAAATCAGGCTGTTTATGAGCTACAGGGCTGGTTGGGGGGGGTCGAGCCCTGCGTGGCTGGGGGTGCATGATGTATGGTTCATATTCAAATGAACGATGGGGCAACTTCGCATGTAGTTCGCGCAGTCCCAGGGCGGTGGAATCATTCCAGGGGTGGTGGTGGTACATCCTGATTCCTTTGTGAAGTCAAGGTGGCGCAGTCGATGTGGTGCCATTGCGCGACGGGTGGCGAGTGGCCAACATGGCGAAAGCCAGACAACTCGAAACCTCCCTGCCGCGCACGTGAAGCGACGGACCACCTCCTGGTGGAATAATTGTTTTGGGACGGTGTCGGTCGCATCCGTTGCGTCGCCGAAAGTGGAAGCGGTGGTATCAGTGCCGAATGAGATGAGAGCAGCATTGGTGGAGCATAAATCGCCAGCCAACCTGCGAGGCGGCCACGACGTAGCTATGATCGGCGACCGGCCGAACACCCAGAACCGCCACGTCACCCCGGTCAATTAGTTATTTCACGGTGTGTGTGTGGTACAAAATGTGAAGCAAACCATATAGTTCGCGCTGTGCAGTGTAAGCTCTGTGTTGTAAGCTAGGTTGTGTGCCTTATGCGGTGCAGTCCATGTGGGGCACACCACTTTGACTGTCCTGAAGCTGTCCTCTCCACTGCTCGTGCAAACATGCCGCCATCCTACCCGCAAATGGGTCGCAATACTTCTTGCGACTGTGACACTAGGTACCAAATTGCAATTGGCTACGACGCCGACGCCAACGACGACAGCGACAACGACGACGACGACGCTGACGACGACACCGACGACACCGACGACGACTCCGACGGCTTCGACGTCGACGACAACGATGACGACGCCGACGATGACGACGACGACGCCGATGTCGACGCCGACGACGACAACAGCGACAACGATGATGACGACGACGCCGACGCCGACGACGACGCCGACGACGACGACGCCGCCGCCGACGACGACGATGACGACGACGACGACGTCGCCAACGAAGACGACGATGACGAGGGAGGAGGGAGGACGATTACGGCGACATCGACAGCAACCACGAGGGAGGAAGGAGGACGGCGACGACGCGAACGACGAAGAGGGAGGGAGGTCGGCGACGCCGACGACGACAATGACGAGGGAGGAGGGAAGATGACGACGACAACGACGACGACGACGGCGACGGAATGGGAGGGGCGACAGCGAGACTCCGACGACGGACGACGACGACGACCACGAGGGAGGAGGAAGGACGACCACGGCGACAACGACGACGGAAATCGACGATGACGCCAAAGAGGACGACACGGGCGACGACGTTGAGGAAAGACAGAGGACGACGACGGCGACGACGACGACGCAAGAGCGCGCGTGCACGCTTTCTTTGAACATCAGTTTTGCGAACCCCTTTTTTTTGCACTTGATTTCGAAATCCTTCTGGGGCCGAAAGTTTTTGAAGGATTTCGGCATGCGCGCGCGACGACGCGCGCGCCTGCACTTTGTCCGATTTGTTGAAGAGGATTCTCGCGACGGCACGCGCGCGAGGGCTTTCGAACGATTTCGACATGCGCGCGCGAATGATTTTATTCATATTATTTGTTGGTTTTTGTTTTGCGAAACCATATGTTTGTGTGTGTGTGTGTTTTCGGAAACTCGATTTTGAAATCCTTCCGAAACCGAATGGTTTTGAAGGATGTCGGCATGCGCGCGCGACGACGCGCGCGTGTGCACTTCGTCCATTTTTTTTTTTTTTTTTTTTTTTTTTTTTTTTTTTTTTTTTTTTTTTTTTTTTTTTTTTTTTTTTTTTTTTTTTTTTTTTTTTTTATATATATATATATATATATATATATATATAAAAATGATTTTTGCTGACTGAGTGTGCGCGCATAGTTTTCTTAGCAGAGGATGGCGGGGGGGAGCGATACCCGCCCCCCTGGGATAGATTAAATTCACGTTTCGGATGGACGATGGGGCAGAGTTATAGGTAAATTGCAATACGAAAAAGGGGGACCTTTACGTCCAGGTGGGGAAGGTGGTCGAACCTTTCTCTTTTAGAAAGGAGAATCTTGGTGATGTAAGCCATGCAGTGCGACCTACATGGTGTAATCTATGTGATGTCAGCTACGCGGTGTCAGCTATGTGATGTAAGCAACGTGGTGTTGGCAGTGTGGTGTTTACAGTGTGTTGTAAAACATGCGTTCGCAACTATGTGTATCAAGTATGCGGTGCAATCCATACAATGCATAAACGTGGAATCAAGCCAATTCAGTTCAATGCTGTGAAACATCGTGCACATGCAAAACATTGCGGAGCAAGGCGCAACACTGCAACGTAATGGAAGTATTGTCGAAACGTTGCAATACACATCAAAACTATGGAAGAACACCTATGACGAACTCGAGGGCGCAACCCATGAACACCAACAGATCTTCCACCATATTTGCAACCCACGGCGCAACCTACGGAATAACCTGCGGCACAATCTACGCGCGCAAGCTGTGGCCACCAAACTTGCGTGGACCTCCATCGGCAGCCTATGGCGCAACCCATGGCGCAATCTGTGGCCACGGGCTTACGCGGCGAACAAATATGTGGCACTGTTTGTTGGCGCGTGCCAGGCAATCAGTAGGAGGCAGTGATCATGAGCACTCCGTAGCAATTTTGGCGCAGTGGCAACACAAGCAACAAGCCTTTATGGAAAGAGCAGCGTGGCTATGGTGCCTTCTCAGTCGGTGACGCACGACATGGCCGCCATCACTGGACTGCGAGGGTGGATGGCCGTTGCCACGTTCTGGTTCCACCACGTCATATACACCCGCACGGGCCACGTGTGCACACTCCCGTGCGTCACAGTATTTTTCGTGCTCTCTGGGATGGTCTACGCGCTGTTCGAGATGGGCCCCGAGGCGTCCGAGCGCATGAGAGCGCCACCGGACGACTCGCACGCACCAGCCGCGCCCCCGGCGGAGCTGCCCCGGGCCGCGCCGAGCGCGCGGCGCGTCGCCTCGCCGGGGGCGCGGTCCCCGGGGCCTCTCGTGCGTTCCGGCGCGGCCGCGCCTCTGCAGGGCCCCGCCGTGCCGCGGCAGCCCGAGCCTCGGGGGCAGCGGGGAGGGCGCGGGGGGCACGGGCTCTCGGCGGGGAGGGAGGGAGGGAGGGAGGGAGGGAGGGAGGGAGGGAGGGAGGGGGGAGGGAGGAGGGAGGACGAAGAGGAGGAGAGGAGGAGGAGGAGGAGGAGGAGGAGGAGGAGGAGGGAGGGAGGGAGGAGGGAGGAGGAGGGAGGAGGAGGAGGAGGAGGAGGAGGAGGAGGAGGAGGAGGAGGAGGAGGAGGAGGAGGAGGAGGAGGAGGAGGAGGAGGAGGACCCCTCGGCCCCTTCACAGTCGCCCATCCCTCGCCGAGGGGGGCCCGGGGAGCCCCGCCCTGCCCCCCGGGGGGGGCGTGCGGGCTGGCTGTCCGGGGCCGTGTCGCCGATCGGTCGGCGATGCAACCTCGGTTCGAGGTCGAGCTTCCCCTCCCTTGAGCCTGTCTTCCCCTGTCGTTTCCCCCCAAGTTTTCTCAGTCGCCCTGCCGTTCTGGGCCGCGCGACGTCGGCGTATGTGGGCAGGCGTCTCCAGCGCTTGTTCAGGCAGTATTACGTTTCCGCACTTTTCGCCGCTCCACTGCTCGTCGCTTTTTACAGCAGCGGCTGTTGGCAGGGCCTCTTGGCACTGATCAGTCTCTTTCCGCCAGTTTGGACTGTTTATCATTGGGATTCGCGCGTCGGAGCGCTGATCGCACCAAGTTGGTTTACTGCCCAATTGCTGACATTCTCATTTCTTATGCCGACAGTCGGAGATTGGCTTGGACGCCGGCCACGGAAAGACGACGGTGCTCTTTTGCGCTTGCTTTTGGGGTTTATCTGAAAGGCTGCGCCCTCTGCCGCCAGCCCACCAGGTTCTGGGACCTTCTTGAGCCATCTGGGGTTTTTGGCACGGGAGTGGCCATCCTTGGCGATTTGTGCCGCATCTTGGGGTCTTTTGTGGACACCTTGGTGCCGTCCGTCTTGGGGAGATCTCGTGGGATCTCGTGGGTGCAGAATAAGGGACGGATTCAAGCGGGGACATCTCGTGGGGAGGTTTCGCGGGGCCGCTTTCAAGCGGTGGAAGGACGTCGCGAGTGTAAAACATGACGCAGACCAGATTTATTGCAAAACGGTGTTTGAACTTGATCGCTTCGCTCATTTCGCTGGCCCAGTGGTGCCTTGTGGCGGCGCAAGTCGCTTTGTGGCACCCCGCGACGTCTCTGCGGGGAGGTCTTGGGAGTCTCTAGGGCCTCTTGGGGAACTTTCCGAAGCTTCTCCCGAGGGCGTACTGGAGACTGAGTCGGAGGACTGTCTTGTAGCATCGCTGGCCCTCGCCTGCGCTCGCGGGGAGACTTCTGAGGCCCTCTGGGGAGCCTCACGGGAGCCTCCTGGGGATCGCTTGGGGTGCCTTCGGGGTGTCCCCGAGGTGGCCTCCTGCGGCCACTCGGGGGCCTCTTGGAGGTCTCTTGGGGCCGTCTTGGGGGGCTTCCTGGCGCCGCTTGTCGGGAAGAAGGGTTGGGAGTTTGAGTTCGGGTTCCCCCTCTTCGGACCCCCTTGGGAGGTTCGGATCTTGAGAGGCCACTGGGGCCGTCGTGGATGTCTCTTGGGCCGTGGCGTGGCCGTCCTGGGGGCCTCTTTTCTTGCGTCAAGTTTGGGGCTGAACTACCCGTCATGGGCGGTCGGACAACTGGAAAAGCAATGAGGCTCACATATATCGAACGTCTAAGTAAACATTAGCCTGGCGAAGGACTCAACCATGTGCAGCTCTGAGCACCGCAGTCGTGAGTATCGTCTTCGGTGGAGCTCCCTATGGGGCCACGAGACGTGTGAGGTGTGTGTGTGTGTGTGCCGAAATGGGTGTGGCGGACGCATGTGGACGGTGCCTCTGTGGCCTGGGGTGGAGCTCCCTACGGGGCCACGAGACGTGTGAGGTGTATGCCGCAATGGGTGTGGCGGACGTATGTGGACGGTGCCAGTGGGGCCTTGGGCGGAGCTCCATATGGGGCCACGAAACGTGTGAGGGGTGTGCCGCAATGGGTGTTGCGGACGCATGTGGACGGTGCTCTTGGGGCCTTGGGTGGAGCTCCCTATGGGGCCACGAAACGTGTAAGGGGTGTGCCGCAATGGGCGTGGCGGATGCGTTCGGACGGTGCCACTGGGGCCTTGGGTGGAGCTCCCTATGGGGCCACGAAGCGTGTGAGGGGTGTGCCGAAATGGGTGTGGCGGGTGCATGCGGACGGTGCCACTGGGGCCTTGGGTGGAGATCCCCATGGGGCCACGACACGTGTGAGGGGAGTGCCGAAATAGGTGTGGCGGGCGCATGTGGACGGTGCCACTGGGGCCTTCGGTAGAGCTCCTTATGAGGCCACGAAATGTGTGAGGGCCGTGCCGAAATTAGTGTTGCGGACGCATGTGGACGTGCCACTGGGGCCTTGGGTGGAGCTCCCTATGGGGTCACGAAACGTGTCCCTAGTAGACAAAAAATAGATACTGGTAGTGTCTATCTTTGGCGCGCGCCTGCTATGGCGAAACCGCAACGCACCTGAGTCGGAGCGCGCGAAACGCGAGTCTATTTTTACGTTGTTTTGATATGCAATTCGTGTAACCAAATGAAAATAGACACGTGAAAAATAGATATTGCTACAAAGAATAGATACGGAATCAGCTTTTTACGAAAAATAGACACTAATAGACACGTTTCTTAGTTAAGAATAGATACGCATTGTAATTTCCTTGGGTTGAAAATAGAAACTCATCAAAACAAATAGAAACTGGTGCGAAAAAATAGATACTGATGGATTCGGCGCGCGCCGAATTCTTGGCCGAGCCCAAAAATAGACACTCCCAACTCCGCTGAAATTCGAGAAGTTAAAAGATTGGGTGGTTCCCTAGGGATTCCTAAGGATTCCCGAAGGATTCCTTTGGATTCCCTAGGGATCCCCTCGGGATTCCGAAGTGTTCCTGAAGGCTCGCTGAAGGATTCCCGGAGGATTCCTGCGGATTCCCTATAGGGAGTCCTAAAGATCCCCGAGGGATTCCTGAGGATTCCCTATAGGGATTCCTACAGATTTCCCTTTGCTTTCCTGAAGGTTTCCCCTATAGGTTTGCAAAGGATTCCCCAAGGATTCCTAAGGATTTCTGGCGGATTCTTAAAGATTCCTCACGGATTCCTAAGGATTCCAAGGGATTCCAATGTATTACTTAGGGGGTCCTCAGGATTGCCAAGGGGTTCCATAGGATTCACCCGGGATAGCTCCTGATTTCCTAAGATTTCCGAACGCTTCCTGAGGATTCCTTAGCATTCCCTAGGGATTCCTAAGTATTCCCAAAAAGATTCCTTTGAATTCCTGAGAGATTCCTTAATGATTCTCACAGGATGCCTTAGGATACCCGAAAGATTCCCTACGG